TGGAAATGGGTGCTATTGATACTCTCATAGTGTGGGAAAATCTGGATATTGTTAGGTATGAGCTTAAGAATAGCTCTACTGGTGAAATTATCATTAAACACTTGAACAAGGAGCAGGAGGCTGATCAGAGTAATTTCCGGGATCTGGACACAAATACAGAATTGGAGGTTCAGGATAAGAAGCCATTGCTGGAGTGGTTTGCTGAGCAGTACAGACAGTTTGGTTGTACCCTCGAGTTTGTCACCAACAAATCGCAAGAGGGATCTCAGTTTTGCAGAGGTTTTGGAGGAATTGGAGGAATCCTCCGTTACCAGGTGGATGTTCGAGCTTTTGATGAGCTTTCTGATGATGGAGAGGTTTACGAAGATTCTGAATAGCAATCAGCCAACCTTTCAAACTCCGGTGCAGTGGTTGAGCGGGAAACTTGCACCGGTGCGCGAGGGCTCGCCCCTTACTTTACCGCTCATCAGGTGCTGAAAAGAATTTAACTGTTTCTGAGGTTAGTAGTATGAGGGAAGTTTTATATTTCCAGCTTTCCTACAGTTGCTTTTAGTTTTGCTATCTGTGTCTCTTTTGTGTGCATGTTTAGCTAAGCTAAAAATAGGTTAAAGCTACTTCTAAGATTTAAGCCAACTTTTTGCTTTGAAACATGTTTGGATAAGATAACTTTTTTTTCTTATAAGTTAAAAAGAGTTTTTTATTTTGAAAGTAATTATTAACTTCTAATTGTGATCAATACCAAAAAAAACTTCTTTTAAACTTAATCCTTTACTTGCAAGTAAACTCTTAAAGCTTGGCCAAACATCCTTGATACCATTTGGCAGTAATGTCAATGTGCTCACTTTTGTTCTTTTCCCTTCATTCGATAATTGTGCAGCACTAGTGGATAAACTATCTGGAGGACGACAGAATGGCATATTCCTCTTCAAGTGTTGGGAGAGGAGGCAACGTGAAGAGTTCGACTTTGCTGATTAGATAGGGGACCGACTCCCTTTGTTCCATCAAGGGCGTTTTAGGAACTCCACATATACTCACCTGTTGTTTGGTGATTTGGATCTTTATGATTTTACTTTCTGAAATGAAACCTATATGCATCTAGAAGTTTTAAGATATTTGTTTTGAGTCGAATTTCACTGTTTAAGCAGTATGTGTGTGAAACTTGGTACTCTACTATGTAGAGTCACGATGTTGGTATTTAGTTACTACTTTGTGTTCTGAAATATATTCTTTCTTGATATCTGATGCTTGCACGAGTAAATCAGATTTGTGAATTGCTGATTGAAAATTGATGTATATGTCTGGTGAAGTATCATTCTATGGATTTGGTTCAACTTTTTTTGGAAACACAACGTATTTCCAATAACCGACGAGGATTCACACAGTTGAGATCATTTTGAGCCTTTCTATGTGTATATTCGGTTGTTTCTTGAGTCATTTCTGCTAGTGTTCCACTGTCGTGTTTGTGTTATTATGTTTCGTGTTTCCCCAATGCTATTCAGGTTCTAGATTCACTACAGTGGTGTCCTGCCCTTATCAATGCAATTCACAAATCAGTCAATTACAATTTNCAATGCAATTCACAGAGAACAAACAATTTGCAATTTAAAGAAAAACATTAGGTCTCAGTTTTGAGCAAGGTTTAAGGGGTGACAACCCTTTGAACCCACTGCTCCCTCAGATTCCCAGACCCTCGCAGGAGGTCTTGGACAAAGGAAAGCAGTGGAGAATTGCTTACCTTAATAACCTAGTTCAAAGACTGAACAATTCTTCAAAAAGAAAAAGGGGGTTTTGAGAGAAGTTACCAGAGTTTGAAACCTCAATGTTTCAGAGTGAAGAAAGCAATAAAGAAATACCAAAATCGCTCCAAAAGTTCTAAATTGAATGCAGGACAGCAACGGGTCACCAAGACTCAGTGAAAACCAGCAGTGAATCACAGACTCAACCAAGAATCGGAATGAGTTAATCCAACTCGCCAGACTCAGCACGAGTCAATAACCAGAATCACTAAGACTTAGTAAAAACATAGGATTAACCATGAGTTACAACTAGTTAAGGCGAGTGAACATGAAAAATAAATTTTCCTTCACAAAGAACCACTCGATTACCCAGGAGCCCAGATCTACTTCAAGAAAAACAGAGAACAAAGAACCCTAACCCAGAGACGAGGCTCTGATACCACTTGTAAAGTCTCAAACCAACATATACCAAAGGATCGAAAATCACAAAGAACAATATAAGTGCAGAATCATAAAAACAACACTGAACACGCAATTTTTCACCGCGTAGGGTCTGGATGTTCAGCCACAAAGACCTAATCACCCGTTGAGCATTCACAAATGATATAGCTCTATCCACTAAGTATCAATCAAGAAATATTACAAATGTTCGAAGAAACCCTTGGTTTCTTCGTGTTAATCTCGTCTCAACAATACAGACCGTAACCACACAAGATCAACCTTAGACCATACACAATCTACAGGCATTCACATAGAAACAGGATTGAAGAATCACTAAGATCGATTATAGTTACAAAGCAGAACCCTAGACTTTCACTTAGAGAAAAGGGGAAACAGAGAGACGAAGAGAGAATTGAATACTCTCGAATGTCCAATACACCAATGGGCCAAGTAATATGAACAATTGCAATCGAAGGGCAGAGAGTCAGTCACGTGTAAGGCTGATAATAATCATCAATGATTCTAGAACCCGGAATTACTTAAGCCCAGAACTAGCAACAAACGGCCCAACAGAATAATATAGTGAGGCAGCCCATTTAGTTAACAATTTGAATTCAAATAATTCACGTTACGTCCTTAAAACCATTATGCTCTGCTTAAGGACTCAAACAAATGATTTTTACTTAAAGAAATTATCTACTAAGCACCGTACTTAGTTTATATTAAGCAGCACATCAATCAATTGATTAATAACAAATTTAATTCAATTTTATAAATGACATATAGAATAATACCAACCTATTTGATATAGAATTTGATAGTAATTAGCCCTTGATTGTAATTCATTAAAGCAATTTTTTTTTGCTCAAACTTATTTTCTATCACACGTTTATATAATAAAATATTTTGTAGGTAAACTCAAATTTTTTTCATACTTTTTAACCATCTATTCTTCAAAAAATTATTATTTTAGAACTCATTGTTTCCAAAAATCTATTTTCAATGGATGTCCGATAGTAACAAAGCCACTTTGCCTCCCACTGCAACTAAATCATCACCCCAAGTTAAGCCACCAATAATCAGTTTTCGTTAAAATCACTATTGGGCCGAAGTTTTTCGATAATCTAAAATTTTGTTTTATACATGTCAATATCGATCGATGGACAGAAATGCGGCCAGAAGTAAATTTTAGAAAATGAAATTACCAAAATGCAAAAAAATCATGTGCTAGGGCTGCTATTAGGGCAAGTCAAGTTCAAACCAAACCAACATTCAAACATACCTTTTTTAATCAGAAAATCACGAGGTACAAGTTAGTATTGCACCCAAAAAATGCACAGATATTCCGTGCACTTTGAAAGTCAAAGCGCCACGTACACAAACTTGTCTTTGTGCCAGCGACAACTCTTACGTACCGTAGTCGGAATCCCTCTCTTAACACGACACTTTATGCGGATTCCCAAATATACCCCCAGTTTAACAAAATTCCCTGCAAATCCCGACTCTTCAACGTGTAAATATCTCGTCTTGGGACAAAGCACAACGAACGTGACGTGAGAGATATCTTGTTATGTAGGTGAGGGTATAATGGTCATTTGAACTGACATGTTCCGCTTCCATGTTTTAATTGAACCTGGAGATAGTGAAACTCACGCGGAGGAAATGTTGATTTTTATTTTTGGAAAATATTTATTCAATATAATATTTTCCGATCTCAAGTCAAATATTTCTATTTAGTTCTCACAACATTGATATGGTATTACCAGTGTGTTTGGTAGGGATTTTTGGGGGAATAATTGATTTTTGAATAGTGATATGATGAGAAATCTGTGGTTGAAAAAGAAGAAAAAAGTATTGATGTGATAGAAAATATTATTTTATTGAAAAATGTGTGGTTGAAACTGTGATTTACGGTAGAAAATGAAAATCTATATCAAACAGGCCCTACATCATATTTTAATTTTGTTGAATATTAATAAGACCATATTCGTACAATTTTTTAAGTTTAAAAGATATTATTTTTTGAAAAACAGAATGAAACAAAGTACAGCAACATTTACTCATTTAGCTTGGAAAAATAACGATCTAACTTTTAGCGTGTACACAGAAGCTTTACAGATCATCATAGCACAAATATTAACGTATTTAACAATACTAACAGTATTAACGAACATAACTTCTAACATCGTCACAACATGAATATTAATGAACTCAACAATATTAACGAACTTAGCACGAGACATAAATATTCTTCTCGTAAAAGTTATACTTAAATGTCAATTTATACGTAAATGTATATTTGGTCATTGTCTGCTTTCATTTATTTGCAACGAAAAATTTCAAGATAACGATGATTCCAAGTGTATATTTTCATTTAGGTCGAGGGTTGTACTCAATCACAATTGAATTTCTATTTCTATATAACTTAGATTAATATCTCAAATCAACGATAGAGCTTGTTTGATATTTAAATGAGCATTCACAATAAAAGAAAAATTACCAAATAAAAGAAATATTTGCTTCGTGTTAAAATAAAAATAAACGGTATCCTACCCATCATGTGTAATTCAATCGACTATAGGCGCGTGGAGAATCTTAATTCTTCTAGCAACTACTATGCTGTTATGACGGTCACTCACGCATTTCCGTAATATTCTTAAAAAATCAAGGGCATGTTTGTTACCCTGTAAAACCCCTGGGCCCCACCCTTCCTTTGTTCATCACTCCCGCACAGAGACGTCACTCTCCCCCTGACCCTACCCCACCCACCTATATATAACCCCAATCCCAAACCCATACAAACAAAACTCTCCATCACCAGCAATGTCGGCCTCCTCCACCCAAATGGACCCTGAGATCTGGCGCGCCACCGCCGGCGCCTCCGTCCATATCCCCGCTGTCAATTCCCGTGTGTACTACTTCCCTCAAGGCCACCTGGAACACTCCTCGCCGATAAAAAATTGCCACATTTTTCTCAAAACCCCTTTGATTTCCTGCCAAGTCCTCGAAGTATCCTTCCTTTGCGACCCTTCCTCCGGCCAACCATTCGCCAAAATTCGTCTCCTTCCTCTTCAGTCACGTGGGCTGCACGTGGTCACGGAGAATGCTGAGAAAAGGGATATGGAGGAGAGCGATGTCGTTTCGTTTGCTAAGATTCTGACGCCTTCAGATGCAAATAATGGGGGGGGATTCTCCGTTCCGAGATTCTGCGCCGACTTGATTTTCCCGCGGCTCGATTTCTCGGCTGACCCGCCGGTTCAGACTCTTGTTATCAATGACAGTCAGAACAATGCATGGGAGTTTCGGCACATTTATAGAGGCACGCCGCGCCGCCATTTGCTCACTACCGGCTGGAGCCGGTTCGTGAACAGCAAGCGGCTCGTTGCTGGAGATTCAGTGGTTTTTATGAGGAAAAAATCGACTAGTGAGTTGTTTGTCGGGATTAGGCGTGCGGTTCGGGGGATTGCTAGCATTTGGAATTGTCCAGTTGCTGTGGAAAACTCGACAGTGAAAAGTGAGTACGGCAATAATAGTAATGGTGGTGATGGGAAGGAGAGAGAGGTAATAGAGGCAATTGAGACGGCAGAGAAGGGGATGGCGTTTGAGGTGCTCTATTATCCGAGAACAGGGGTTCCAGATTTTGTAGTGAGCGCGGAGAAAGTTGAGGACTCGCTTAGTTTCTCCTGGAGCGCAGGCATGCGCGTTAAGATGGCTGTGGAGAGAGAGGATTCCTCGCGCACCACTTGGTTCCAGGGCACTGTTTCGTCAACGACTTCCTACAGTGGGGTGCATTGGGGTGGTTCTCCGTGGCGCATGCTTGAGGTATATATACTTGTTAAATTTTTTCTCATTTTCGAAAGAGGATCATGTTTAGAAGATGATAATTTTTTGGGTAATTGTGTCTAGGAATTGTCTTAAGTATGATTGGATTGATGAGATATCTTTCCGTTAGTATAAGAATCAAACATTGAATTATTAGGTTGTTTCATTGCCATGTTGAGTAGTTTTTCTCGAACATGTAATGACAATGTTGTATGGCATGCACATGAGGTATATATATACTAGTTTGTGGATCCTTCCCGAATGAGTATTTGTATGTTGTCGGTGAATGATAATTATTTGTTGATAAGATGATTTGTTTTGTGGGTAATCGTGTCTAGGAGCTGTCTTAAGTACGATTCGATTGATTGGGACAGCTATGTGATAGTGTACTAAACTGGACATTGAATTGTTATTTTCTTGTTCCATTTCCATGTTGATTAGAATCGGTTTTCTTGAATTTGCAATGATAATGTTGTATTGCATGCTTAACCTGGTCTGATGCTAGATTTTGGTCCTCTGCTGAAGAATATCAATAGATCAAGTTGTCATTCTGTACACTGGATTTGATTGGGTGTTGTATAAGGGCGAAGAATTTCGTTGTAGTTCATTTGGTAATTTAATATGTTTGATTTGTTTGGATGCTATAACATGTAATTGGGTCTGGGAATTGTCTTAAGCAAGATGGTGAGGGGCTTGTAATTCTTATATCTTAGTCCATAGCAGAATTGTTTTAAAGCCTCCTAACTCAGCAAGCAAAGGAACCTAATCGCTTTAAAGCTGAGATTTCCCATTCATTTAAATGCGCTTCTAGGATCCCGATGATAAGGCTCGCGTTGTTGCCTCCGAAGTAGACGCTGCCCCTTCACCGTCCTTTCTTCTTGGAGGGATTATAGGATGCCTCTCCTCGGAGAAAGCTGCAATCATTAGGATTTCCCTAATCTCCTTTCCTGAAAGGAAGATTGGATTTATTGGCACAGTTGGCGATATTATGCTGAACTGGACATTGAGTTTTTATGATATTGATCTGTTTCCATGTTGATTGGGGTTGGTTTTCTCGAATTTTTAATGATAATGTTGCATGTCATGCTTCACCCGGTCTGATGCTAGATTTTTTTTTTACCTCTGGTGATAAATATCAGAGTGTATTTTATGGGGGATCAACTGGTGAGCCTGTATATTTAATTTGATTGGATGCTGTATAATTGCGAAGAATTTCATTGTTTGTTTTATTCTAGTTGAAGTGGTAATGTTGTATGATTTGGTCGAGTGCTATAATATGGAGAACAAATATAGTGGTAACGGTTTGTGCTTGATTCGACCAGATGCTATAATGCTATACTTTTGTAAACGATGTCATTGTTGGTTTTTGTTGAAGTTTGAAGTGGACATTCATATTCACGATTTGGTTATTATTTTTAGGCAAATAAAATTGGCATTTATGTTCTTGGTAATTTATGTGGATCAATAGTGGTATGTAAGTTGGCAATTCATAGATCATTCGAAGTCACGAGGTACTAAAATTTTTACATTTGGTAACTGGGGGTGTTGTTTCTTTTACTAATGGATGATAATTACATCACTTTTGGCACTTGTGCTTCTATGGATTCTGGTTTCTTCAAGGTCCTCGGATTTGTGGAAGATATTGCCAAATGTTTTAATGAGATTGCTCGTTGTGTCATTATAATTAGCAGAAACATTGTGTATTTGCTCCTCATCAAGTTTTACTTGTATACGATAAGTACTGAATAAAGAAAGTGATATCCTAAGGTTGTATTCACTGCTTCCTTTTTAACTTTGCCTGAAGATCTAGTTTTGATGTTGCAGGTGATGTGGGATGAACATGAAGTCCTGCAGAATGCGAAGACAGTAAGCCCCTGGCAAGTTGAATATGTTCTGCCCGCACCACAGATTCATTCAGCATTTCCTCCTCTGAAAAAGTTCAAAGTCAGGCAAACTCCAGGGAAGCTACCTGATGGAGAGGGAGAGATCTTCATCCCTACTGCGGAGTCAACCGACTTGATGATTGGACATTTGAACTCATCAATGTTCAGTTATAATTCATTTCCTGCTGGCATGCAGGGAGCCAGGCTAGATCAGTTTTGTGTATCCACTTTATCCAACTCCCACAGTGATCATTCCCATCCAATATTCACTAATTTCATGAAGAATGGAACACAACCAGAGCTGAAAATCTCCACAGAACTAAATATTGGGAGTTCGCATGTGGACAATTTATCACCTGATAGTCAGAGCAGTGTGCACTTTTCTTGCACTGAGTTAGTTGGAAAACAGGGATCTGTTTCTTCAATCCAGTTGTTTGGAAAGATCATTTGTATAGCAGATCCCGTCGAAGCTTGTTCTGACAAAAATGTTAGTTTAGCAGAAGGTGAAAGAAATGGCTTGTACAGTGAGAGTGATGCTGTGATCGACATGCAAGATCCTTCTTCTACACGCACTCGTGCAGAACTTTTCCTTCATTCTTAACGAGCCTCAGCTATTGCAGCATGTTCTATAAGAATCAGTTGCTCTTTGCTGACAATTCAATGGTGTACAGGTATTGAATGTTTCTCCTTAGATGTTGCTGTTGTTTTGTTAAGATGAAACGGATAGCTCCTTTTTCCTTGCCGTTTATGGTTGTACTAGGAGTATCAAAATTCCTTTTGTTTATAAAAAATTGGAATTTGATTAATTTCTTCTTGTCACTATAGAGAGAATGATGTGACCCAATCGATAAGTTTGGTTCCATCACTGAGGTTTCTTTGATCCCTTAAAGAACCATGTTGAATGCGGCCCCCCCCCCCCCCACAAACCTGTTTAAGGCAAGGCAAGGCGGGGCGGGGTAGGTCCTTTTCCAGTTTAATCCCTGTTTAAATATTTTTTGTTTTTTTTTTTGATAATTTATTTTTATTGCCCATATTCATCAGATTTAGAGAAATAATTTTAGTTGCTATTTTCTATTAAAACTAATGAAAATTTTCATTTAAAGTATTGAATTCTAAAAATAAAAAAATAAAAATTTTAACCGGGCAGGGCCCCCGTTACCAGTCCCCGCCCCGGGGCAAAATTCCCCGCCCCGTTACCCTTGTAAGCGGGTTATCCTTGTCTCGTTTGGGGCGGGCTCCGCGGGTATCGGGTTTATCGGGGTTTTTTGCCATCCCTAAATTAAACGTGCATCTCTGCCTGAAAGAATACCACAACAATTATCTCCTCTAATGGAGATCAATAAAACAATAAAGTGTAGATATGTTTTGCTCAATCGATAGCTTACTTTAATTAGTAAGGCATTAGCCCCTGAAACTCCTTACCTCAAGTACCAGTAGCTTAAGGTAGTGCCATTTCTCCCTACCCCTCTGGGAGATTACTAGAGGAGAGGAAAGGTACACACCTCGTACCATAGTTTGAATTGAACACTGCATAAATGACAGTCATCTAAGCATGAAAATGAACAAATCTACCATTGTATTTCTGGCAGAGCTGGCATCCTTTAGTCTTTGGCATTGACTTCTGCTGTGCCAGGCTGAAGGTTGCTTGACCTTTTTATAGGTAGGAGGAGATTTGGTTGGGTTTAAGCTTGCAATACTTGCTGCTTTGAAATACTTGATGCATAGAAACTTTAGCAAGACTATATATTTGTCAAGGAGTTTCGTATGAATTGCTAGTTCTTCTTACTGACCTCTAATATTTAATGAATTTTGACTAACATGGAGGCATTATCATTCCTGTTATTATTTTGTGTAATTATACATTTTCTGCAGGTACTTGAAGGTTCAAGCTGGAGAAAGCTGACTCAGAATCTGACTTTTTCAAGTAGCAATTTTAGTTAAGCTTCTCTTTTCTAACTGAAACTTATGGTGACTTCTAGCTATTGTAGAATGTAGATTTGGTCATCAATGGTATGCCATTGATGAGACCTAATTGTGGTTTAGATTTTACGAATGCTTCAGTTCATATTTGTCTCAAGTAAATTGACTATGGATGATTTCATTTGTTACATTTAATGACTTATTTTTATTTGTAATAGGGAATTTTTGCTATTTGAAGGCTAATTTTCATGCTAGAATTTAACTTGCCAGAATGAAATTGTTCGTCAGTCTCTTACTGTCGTAGAGATATTAGAATCACATTTATAATTATTGATAATATATTTTTCTATATTAGCTCTTCAAAATTTAAATGCTGGTAATGTATCGTCGATGCGAAGTCTGAAAATTGCAATTTTTTTTATTATTCTGAACATTGAATTGTACAAAATTCCCTTTAAAATGAATTGAACAATTTTTGTTGTGTCAAATCCAATCAATGAGTGTTGGGAAATGTTTTTTTGTAGGAATTTCTGTAGTGGATAAATACTAAAGTAACATCTTCACATTTATGTGTTTTAGGATTAAATTGTGCACATCTCACAGGAATTTGAGGTGAAAATGAAAACTTGGAGACCTGACATTATTTGTGATATTTTATTACAAGTAAAATTTTGCACTCTCTTCAGAGCCGCGCACATCAAGTATTTTCCAGCGAATCCATGGATATCGAGTATTCCAGGAAAAGCAGAATATTTGATGGAATTGGAAAATCCTTTCACACAGGGAAGAGAACCAGTCATTATGCTGTCCATTTATGCTTCTAGTTTGAGTCGAGATGTGCTACCCATTTATGTTGTCCATCCAATTACAAATTGACATATCATGGAAAATTAAAATTGATGACCACTTTAATTGTTCATGTCAATTTGCAATTGAATGGATAGCAAAAATGGACAGCAAATCTCAACTCCAATTATAGTGGTTGGGGGCGCATTTGGACAATGAAGATGTCTTTGCCTAACAAAGATCCTTCAGCATCCCGAGGATGCTTGAACGGGAGTTTGAGGAAGAAACCAACCATCCCAAGAGGCGTGCTGAGTTGTTGCCGGAAAATGGGGTTGACTGTAAACAGTTTCCTGCTGTAGTCTCGTGTGAAGTGAAGTACCTTTCCATCAGCAGGACCAGAGCCACTCACCACTAATTCCTTGCTGAAATTTGCCAATGTGCACGCACTGACTCATTAAGTTTACCGATCGAGAGATATCATGGAGTCCCCCTCGTGCTCGAAGGGAGAGTTTTCCTAAGTCCCGGAGCAACCTCAGCCTTGACCAAATTATTGTTCGTCAATAGGGCAAAGTGTGAAGCACAAAGGATAGATCCAGCGAAAGCATTTCTTGCACCAGAACAGCCATCACAGCTGCCTCCTGAGGCACACCTGCAGCTCTATGGCTTAAAACTGCTCTCCAAGTGTATAGTGAAGCCCAAACACGTCCAACAGCCGGTCCGAACACTATTGTATTCGAAAGGCTGACATTCGGGATCGATTCATAAAACCCAGCAGCCGACCTTCCGGCCTTGTCCTCGAGTTTGCACTAGAACGGCCCATTAAAGATTTCTTTCGAAGGTTGCAACGAAGAAACTAGCTCCTGTGGATCATCACAAGGTTTATCGAGTTCTCCATCTATTTCGCGCGGGTTTACTCGCTAACAATATAAAGGGATTATACGATTGTGTAAGGGACAACCCGCTTGGAACAAAGTCCCAAAAAGGGGTGTTTATTGAATATGAAGATTACAGTTTGGACACGAACAAGATGCCTCCAAGGGGCGCAAGCACACAAGTACAAGGGAATTGAAGTAATTAAGATTAATCTAAGAAAAGTAAATTACATGTTCTCTGTTTGAGAATGAATTTTGTCGGGCTTATCTTCGTTGTCTTCCTCTTTCTTTTATACGGCTTGGGCAGTTTTAATCGTTTAGAAACTGCTTGTAACTACCCATTTCTTTCATCATAGTCGGCTGGCCAATAACTACCGTGTGTAAATACTATCACCACGTCCTCTTCATAACTGCTTGCCACCAACTCTCTCAAATCGTGGGACGTAATTGTGATGTGCTCAAACTGCCTTAGATCGTGACTTTGGATAACAACAAGCTTTAGTCATTGCTGGGACTTTGGGCGACTCGGGATTTTTGGGCGACAATTGATCTTCCGCTCTGGGCGATTATGGGATACTTCATTCGCTCAACATCTGGGCGTTCTGCAGGGTTGGGCGACAACGCTCCTTTGTTTTTTGGGCTTTTATCATGTTTAATGATATTTTTGGTTAGGCTTTCACCATGATCTCTCTAAATGGGTTTCTTCTCTTGGGCTATTTCCTTTCTTGGGCCATTTGAATTAGGTTGTACATTTTGTGCGTCAACACCATCAGTTTTAGCTATTTCAATATGTCCAACCAAATACTTGTATGTTTCCATTGATCCTCTTTTTTTTTCCAAAGCCATTTCCATAGAGCCAGAGGTATCATGGCTCCAGCCAGAACATTAAACAACGCTGGAACCCCCTGGTCATTGTAAACTGCCATTCGAGCAACAGACGACAAAGTTGGAAATGACATGCACAATGTTATATAATTGAGGAAGATCGCAAACAGAAATTTAGGACATGTTCGTACGCATTAGACAGGATAGTACAAACTGTACAATGAACATGAAATTTAGGGTAATTAGCAGAAATGGTCCCCAACGTTTAGCCTCGTTGTTAAAACGGTCCCTATCATTTTAAAATTGGCATTTGTACACTTATTTCAAACGTTTCTTGCG